AGGAACAACAAATAACCATAAATGCCTCCTCATACGTCACAGCATCAGCATATGACATGGAAAAACCTTTATAACTTCAAGACCCCGCGCTCAAACTGTGAATTTTTTTCGGGTTATTCAACATCTTACCCCATGTAGAATTAATACTGAGAATATTGTCAGAAGGGTGATAGGCACTTTAAYATTAGGTCTGGATTCATATCCCGAGAGTTTTGCTTAATGATGAAAAAGTTGAATGACTAAATAAAAGAAAAAGAAAAGGAATGAATGGGATAGAAGGAAAATGGGAGCAGCATCAACTTACATCAGCTCCTAAAGCTACAGCAAGCTTAGCATTACGAGGAGCCARAAACTTCTTCATCAAGTTTTCCCATCCGAGACTGAAGTGAAACTCGATGTCTTCAATGAAATCGCTACACAAGTCATGGATCTCGAGCTGGTAGCACACTTCAAAATCTTGCCTAAAATGAACACATATATAGATTATAGTWATACRATTATTTTGATTATRTTATATACCATGGAAYATCCCACGAGGCACTTGYATTTCCTAGTGTACGTAACAAATTTCCGAAAACCATCGGAAATGTTATTTATWATTTAAAAGAAAAAACACGCAAAAAGTTTGAAAGAAAAACGGTTTCAAGCGTGCGCTGACTCCGTGCGTAAGCGAGTCGTAATTTATTGATGTAATTTGTTGTTCTTCTTATTTACCACGGCTCTAGACCAATCARAAAGTGAACGGTCCCTTAGAGTCTTCACAAGCTAAAAATCAATCCAGAAGATGAATTGTGTTCATACCTTGGTACAGTAGGGATGATATTCTCCTGCTGGTCTTGTGGTAGGAGGCTTTTGAGATGTTCTAAAGATGAAATATAAATAATCCAAAACCAATAAAGTCGGTGCAATAGATCATTTCAGATTGAAGATCATTCTTCGTTTGCACATGACGTCATAGTCSCCATGTTGGATAAATTTAACAAAAGAATTGTCAAKGAATTCTTTAGTCATATCCTCCAACATGGCCGCCGTGTCTTTTATTTCACTCCGTTGGGAATGATTGAAAACCAGCAATATTTTCCCATTTTATACCATTTGTGATTTTTTGTTTGCGCAACCGTTAAAGATAAATTGATACTCTAGGGAATGACACGTGGTCTGAAATGGGGAAACATTAGGCCAAAGCTGTGTTATTCTCTTGAGAATAAGATTCTTTGTTTGAGTTGTATCCATATTAATGTGTCTTCTCATGTGCAACCGTTAAACAAAGAAATGATACTCTAGGGAATGACACGTGGTCTGAAATGGGAGAACATTACGCCCTTAGGAAAAGGAATAATACTCAAGGGAATGACACGTGGTCTGTAATGGGAGAACATTACGCCCTAAGAAAAAAGGAATAATACTCTAGGGAATGACACGTGGTCTGAAATGGGAAAACATTACGCTCTAACGAAAAGGAATAATACTCAAGGGAATTACACTTGGTCTGTAATGGGAGAACATTGAGCCCTTAGGAAAAGGAATAATACTCAAGGGAATGACACTTGGTCTGTAATGGGAGAACATTACGCCCTAAGAAAAAGGAATAATACTCTAGGGAATGACACGTGGTCTGAAATGGGAAAACATTACGCCCTAACGAAAAGGAATAATACTCAAGGGAATGACACTTGGTCTGTAATGGGAGAACATTGAGCCCTTAGGAAAAGGAATAATACTCAAGGGAATGACACTTGGTCTGTAATGGGAAAACATTGAGCCCTTAGGAAAAGGAATAATACTCAAGGGAATGACATGTGGTCTGTAATGGGAGAACATTAGGGCAAGCTATTAGCCATTCCGAGGAAGAGGAAAAACTGGATTTGCAGTGCATTTCGGGGCTGTTTTAGAGAACAAAATAGACGCCATCTTGAAAACAGCCCCAAAAGGCACTGCAGTGCCATTGGAACTCATTCTTTTCCTCAACCTTGGAATTTCCTATGAAAGTCTGCTGTGAAATATCAATTCAGGGAATCTCACCAGTCATTTCTTGTTGTGCTTCATTGATGATCTGAGCCTGTGACGTTGAGCAACGTCCCATCAAGTTTCTACCAAGTCCCTTCTCGATGTGCTTATGAAGCTCCTGGAAAACGAAAGGAAGAGAGAAGAAAATGAGAAAATCAAAATGGGATGAAAGGTTTCGAAACTGTGGGAGAAGAACACAGCAAAAACTTGATTGATTGGTTGATTGATTGATTGCTAGTGTATCTTTAATTAGGAAATTTTAGGGCAAATAGTAGCAGCTGAGCGGTGAACGCGGTGCGCAAAGCATGAGTGGGCAAAACAACCAGCCTAATCAAACATGGCAGTAAAGTGAAATTTTTTTTCCCCCCATATTCCTGCTCCTTGTAGGCATGTTTATMATATTTTAGTCAAAAGAAAACAGAAAAATGTACAAAAGCTGGGTTACAGTAGCCAAGGAATGAAGGCAGAAGGCAAAATGGTAATAGCGGTAAAAGAAGGATTTTCGAAAAAGATGTTTGTTATTGAATGACCAAAAAGAATTATGATAAAGGAAAACCAATAATAACATAGAATCATATGTAYACAGTGTAATCAAGTATGGTACCTTCTTGTAAGTCTGTAAGAACCCTGGATGGGTGTGAAATGGATGTTCAAAATCATTAATCAAGACACTGAGTCGACCAATCTCTTCTGCCATGACATCTGCAACCTTGTGTAATACAAAGAGAGAACTGCATTACTTCAAATGGACTCTAAAACTAGCTCAATAAGGCTCAATGGTGTTAGCCATTGCATTCAGTTTTTACCCCCTCCCCAGTCAACATCTAATCCCCCCCCCTCCAAGCTTTAAAAAGAAATTTCCAATTTCCTAAGCTCCTGAAGCAACTTATGTAGGCCATCAAGACCAGGATAACCATTAGATAGAAAGGTATACAGTCAACCCTCGTTACAGCGGACACCCTCGGGACCATCACTTCATGTCTGTAATAGTGAGCATCCGTAATAGCAAATATTATTTACGGTCATTTCTTTGTGAGTATTTTTGTCGGGGATTTTTCTTCTGTCCGTAATATTAAGGTGTCCCTATCATAGGGGTGTCCACAAGGCGAGAGTTGCCTGTATTATTTTTGACCRTTCTAATTTATTTTCCCCTGATATGAGATAAAATTCTG